ACTTAATTTAGCAACTGCAGGAAAATTGGAAGGTATCTATTACTAACACTTTTTTTTTTCAATTATTATAGAAATACATTATTAGAACTAGTTCTGAGAATTATAAATAGTACTGCGGGTATCCAGTTAATTAAATATCTTTGGAGCGAACTAAATTGATAGTTTGGTTAAAAATTATTTATTTAAATGTAATATACTACAAATCATATATAAATTCTACTGTTAGAGAGAAAAAAATTCCTTTCTTCACAATAACTTTATATGTTTGCCATTCAGTATGATTAAGACCCCCCCCCCCCTTTTCCACGTAGATCGGTCACTTAGTCAGTATTTCCAGTATATTTTAAATTAGTATTTAAAAAGAAGTTAATGCGTATTGTAGCACAAAAATTTCAGTCTCAGAACAAACATGCATTTAAAAAAGTCATTAAACAATAGTAGTTCAAAATATACACGCGCTGACGGTGGTATTTTAAATTGGCCGGGGAGTATGTTTCAAATTCATTCAAAATATTTATGCCCAAAGTATTTTATTTATTTATTTATTGGAAAAATTGGAATCAGATCTAGAAATGATAAAACATGTAAAACTTCTTTCAAATACTACAGTGTAGCACTTCGCCTTTGGTGTGACGAACCTTTAACACCTGCACAGTGTCGAATGATTTTGATTGACAGGACAAGCACGTGGACTTCGTGTGAACTTGAAGCAGGAAAATAAAAACCAATTATGACTGTCAAACAAAGTGAATTTGTTGATAAATAAAAAAGGTTACTTTCACTGCCTGAGATATTTAGATAAAAATTAAGAGTTTTTGTTTATACAGGTACCTGTACATGTACATGCATTTGTGAAAAGGGGGGCAAAAACATATCTCTCTCTCTCTCTCTCTCATTCGTCCATTTAATCAAAACTATAACACGTATAACTTAAATACCAAGTTCTGAAATTTTAATCTATAACAATTATTACGAATGCTTCTTTGTATCACCTTGTCCGACTATAATCACGGGGAATTGTTTATAGATACATGTAGAAGTCTGCTGAATAAATCATCATTAAAAAAAATGAAAAGACACATAAATATGTTATTGCATTATTTTTTTTTTAAATATGAGGGTATACATGCAATACGTCCACAGACTAGCAAAATATTTTTTTTAATTTTTTTCTCATTATTTCAAACGGAATTGCCTTTACACGGAAATACATGTATGATTGTTACAACCGTTGTAATTCATTCTATAAGTCAGTAATGTACTCTTCGGAAATCATTATTTGTAATGGTTTTATATATCAAATAAGAATAAACATATTTATTTTACAACTTGAATGATTTTATTTTTTAAACTACAGCGTTCGGTAAAAATGACAATGTTTTACAGCGATAAAAATCGTGTGATTAAACAGCTGAATTTAAACATCATACATATGTGCAGAAAATATTGTAAGAAACTTAATTAATAGTTTTACTAAATGTGCATGTTTCATCTTTCTTAGGACAATTTTTGAATATTTATTTATTTTCCGCCTGACATTAGAATACAATAGAATAGATACAATGCATGGAAAAGATCAGAGGCATTCCGAATAAATCGTTCATCTTGCGTTCACCGTTCACTTTGCGCTCGCGTTCGCGCTCCGTTCGCGTTCTGCGTTCTCTCACCGTTCAGCGTTCACCTACCGTTCACCAAGTTGCGTTCAGCGTTCACACATCGTTCACTCACCATTCGCTCTGCGTTCGCTCACCGTTCGCTCTGCGTTCGTTCAGCGTTCGCTCACCGTTCAAGTGGGAAAGTAGAACGTTTCAGGGACTGTATATGTTAAAGATTTGCAGACTGAGTCTACATGGTTATGAAAATTTGGCGTTTGATCTATATGTACCCCAAGTAGTTTTTCTATTTCAACAGTGTCAAGGTTTTTTTTTCAGAGACTCGTGGGCATCAGTGATTCATAAAAAAAACATCATCTTGTATTATTCGGATTTCTATTCCTAGCTCATTTTAAATAAAAAAATATTACTCAGTGGCAGAAAAAATATTAAATTAAAAAGTTCAAGTTTCCCAAATCCGATTTTCTAATATTTGAATCAAGACTGTAAAAGTCGATTTCAAGAAGAATGAAAAGAAACAAATTGCCTTCACCCTTTAATTGAGGAAAGCCGAGTTTTATGTTCATTCAAAGAATATAAACATGCGGTTGTTTTACTAAAGATAATGGTGTAATTCCATTAACATATAATTTTTGTATTATGTCTTACCAGGCTGAATACAAAACAAACGTACAATAACTTTCATTAAATGAAATATATGAAGATAACAAATAGTATTCAGGCTCAAGAGTCCATCAAACAGTACAAAATAGGAGCAGAGCAAACACGGACCTCCAAACATCAGAGGTGGGATCAGGTACCATGGAGGAGTGAGCATCCCTGCCGACAGGTCACACCCGCCGTGTGCTCCTTGTCATGATCGGGAAATAACGGAAAAATCCGTCGACAATTCAGTGTGTAAATAATGGCCTAACAATTTGTATGAAAAACGTCAGTCAGCATTGACTCAATGATAAATTGTATTTGCTGACAAGGTCATTGTATCGACCATAGAACTTACGAAATGATGACTTTAAACGAGACAGCTGATGTTCTTGTTTCATCAACTTGTTTGTAAATAATTTACCTCGTTTTAGAAATTGTACATACGTAGAGCATGCTCTTGCGTATCGAATCAACTGAGAGATATATACCCCGTATGCAGGTGATGAAGGTATATTGCTGCATAAGTAAGGGAAGTTGACGATTGAAAAGTTAAAGTCATCACGTTTATCATAAAGCTTGGTTGTTAGATTATAACCATTAACGTCTTTTTCAAGTGAAATATCCAAATATGAAACAGATGTGTCAGACTCTGTGTATCTTTTATCTCAAGCTCACAAGGATATATCGTATCGACATAAGAATGGAAATAGCCATTGTTATTGACAATACGTCGTCGATATATCTAAATGTCGAGTTGAAGGCCACAGCAAGTGTTTCTTCTTTTCACGTACAAGATTTTGGACAAATTCTGCTCACTTATCTTTTAGTGATATGATGTGTTTGTGATGTAATGAATACTGTAAATCACTTAATTTTCGCGACACCTTACTTTCGTGAGATAGTCAATAGCTTCTTATTAGCAAAAATAAATTTTCACGAATGAAAGTTATGGCTCTATAAATGTATATAATATTAAGGAATACGAATATACGTGCGAAAAATAAAATTCCGAACACATTGTCTCGCGTAATTACGCGAAAATAAAGTTCTAGCGAATAAGATGTGACTTACAGTAGATTGATACTACAGAAATCAAAAGTCTCAAAGGAGTATTTACTGCTCATTTTACAATTTTGATACTGCCTTGAAAAAAAAGATCAAAAAAGAATTTTCTTTCTGTGATTTACTCAAGTCCGACATTTAAACATACCATGACTTTTTTTTTTCCAAAAAACAAAAATAATTCATTCGTACGTTGATTAAATAAAATATCTTATTGATCTTGAAAAAAAATCCACGAGTCTGACACATCTGTCTCCTATGGATACTTTGTTATTTACTAGAGTATGACACTGATGGCAAATTAACACCTAAACTTTATGATAATCGTGTTTATGATCACTTCAACTCTGATATTGTCAATTTCTGTTAATTATGTAGCATCATACCATTACCTACATACTCTTAATGTCTTCTAATGTTGACTCATTATGCATATTTAGATCAATTTCTTCGGTCGAACAATTTTTGAAAAGAGGCAAACTGCTGACCATTTAATGTACTCTATGTAACAAAAATATCTACAATCTCGTTTAAGTAAACATAACACAAATTCTCATTGTTGATACAATGAGCTTGATTGCTATTACATTGCTATTACAATCTTTTGTTGACTGTCGACTGAAGTCTTTCATACACATTGCTGACAGTCTGAATTCTTTCATACACATTGTTAGGCAAATAATTCTAATATCAAATTGATAATGTATTTCTCCGTTTATCCAATCATATTTAGGTCATATACGGTACCAATTTTGATGCACCAGATGCGCATTTCGACAAATTATGTCCCTTCAGTGATGCTCAAGCCGAAACGTTGGAAATCCAAAATAAAAAAGACTTGGAAGAGCTGAGAAAATGTGCCAAAGACTGGAGCCAAAAACATCGAAGGATCAGAGCTATGCATGAGGGAGATAATCCTTAATTTTGAAATCAATTTCAAAATTTTACCACAGCAATTAAATATATCTGTATTTTCAAGCTAGAACCGAAGTACTAGGTTACTGGGCTGTAGAGACCCTCGGGGACTAACAGTCCACCAGCAGAGGCCTCGACCCAGTGGTGATAATGTAAATCATATACGGAAGTCTACAAGGTAAATTTCCTCTCAAAAATGATATTGAAGCAATTTGTATACAGTAAATCAAAGCAAAAGCAACCATCTTGATGAACGCAAGACTTTACGTGATAAATCCCCCAAAACAATATCACTGATACAGTTTTTATGATTCGCAAACATCTTGAAGATAGCAACAATCCACAGGATAAATTTTCTCTCAAAAATTTATATTTAGGTCATATATTGAGTCAAAATGTGAGGCCTACTCACGGCACCAGATCCAACCTGCTATTTAAGAGGTCCAAAAGTTCTTATTCTACTCGCAGTTTGTATTGTTTAGTTAGACTTTTTAGCATATTTACACTTTGTTTATCCACTATGCGACGTGGAAGCAGGTCTTTTGGATGTGTCTGTATAAACCAAGGCCCCGTGTCGCATTAAGTGCTGGCACGAAAAAGATCCTCACAGTTCAAAGGCCGTAAATGCTGAGAACAGGTCTAAAGTTTTTGCCTTACACCGGTCAGTTGTGGCATCTCAATATGTGAAAATTTTCCAAGGGACGTTAAACAACAAACTAACCAAACAAAAATAATCATCTTTACAATTCATGAGCAAGTACCAACCTTCTATCCAGTGTTCTAGAGCCATCTCTATTGTTTACCAATATATTTAAACAAAACTGTTGGTCAACGGTGTCACATTGTAATGGTGTAGTAAACTGTTCACATATGTAAACTGGCATTCCATTGCAAAGGTAACAAGTAGCTAAGAAAAACATCAAAATAATAATGAATATAGGAACAAACATTACCATGCATATTATAGCTGAAAGGATACATATTGCAATATTTTGTATACCTTTTGTACAAGGTAGGGGTCAATTACTTTGAATTGTAATCAAATACTTTCAAATACATTGAAAATTTTGTGAATTACTTGCAATTACAATTACATTGATTCTAACAAATGTAATTAATTACTCTCAATTACTTTGAAGAATGTAATTAAATACATATCAATTACTTCCGTTTTATTTCAAAAAAATTTGAAGAACAAATACATGAATATTTTGAAGCAGCAATATTATTCAATTTGACCTTTCTTATTGCCCTGGGCAGTGTTTTTATGTTGTATACACATTATAAGGCATTTAGTTATTGAATAAACACAAACTCATGCCAACCAATGCTGGTATGCATTATGATGAAACACCTTTTTTAATATGTAACTTGAAAAATAAAGTATTTGAAGTGTAATTTAAATGTAATTGAAAAATACATGACATTTTTGGAATGTATTTAAATACATTCAATTACTTGTAATAGAGAACAAACTCAATTACAAATACTACAATTACTTTGAAAAAATGTATTTAAATACAGTAAATTACAATTACGTATTTCAATTACCCCATCCTGCTTTTTAAATAAAAAGGGAAACTATGAAATCAATCTTTCATTGTTATTCAAGAAAATGTTGTTTTTTTCCCAGTATATGTAGATATTCGATGGTAAAGTGAAACGCAAGCATGTCAACAAAATAAACTAAAGCTGACATTATAAAGGACTTACTTGGACTTGATGAAGTGATTGTTGTGATGGGTATTGTTTTAGACAAGGTTGGACTAGTGGGCATTGTTGTGGTCGAGGTTGGCGTTGCCGTGGTCGAGGTGGGCATTGTCGTGCCTGAAGTGGGCGTAGTTTTGAGTAAAGTAGTAGGGGTTGTCGTCGAGGTTGGTGTGGTTGTTGTCGACGCGACCATGGTCGTCGACGATATAGACGGGATCTTTGTAAAAGACCTTGTCGTAGATACTGTAATCACTAAATAAGCAAGAGATCCGTCATTTGATTGTGGTGAATATTCTCGAGCTCTTAGAAACCCAGCTCCATTCGAACTTAAATGGACTTAGTAGGGAATCTATGTTCCTTTTCAATTTGCATAACCGTTATACACTATAGACGTTCAGGAGTAATCAAACTACATAAAATGCATTATAAACGTATTTAAGATCAATTAAGTTTCACCATAGCTGCAGCAGTGTACCTCACTGGTTAAAAAACATGGAGATGACCACCAGATAGCTAGGATTCTCAGTATTTAAAAGGGTATATATTTATGAAAGTTGATAGTTATGTCAATATATTTAAACTGCCATCTATGTATAAGTGAACGTCAAATAAATAATTTACCTTGCATGCTACACTGATTCATATTGCAAGGGCGATACATGTCCCCTTCGTTAGCACAACAACGAAAACAGGTATTTAATTTTCGTTTGCCTATGATGTTACCAGTCATCACTGGTGCATGTGTACTATGCTTTACTATCCCATCAAGACCACTAAGAGTGTCACAGGTCTAATGAATAAAACGATAAAAGATAGGAAAAAGTTATGATAAATCAATTTCATAATTTTTAACGTTTGGTGAATTATTACGCTTGCAGACTGTTTTGTAAATATTAATTGAATGAAATATATGAAGATACGGAACAGTAATCAAGCTCAAAAGTCCACTGAAACATTACAAAGAATTTGAAGCAGAAGTGGGATCAGGTGCCATAGAGGAGTAAGCATAACGTAACCTATCATTACCTGCTTAGATACGCAGCCTGAGCTGTAAACCAGAAAACCACCGTTGTTAAAGCTCTCTGACGTGAAGCATACCTAGAAAAAGGATGTTCTTAAAGTGAAACATATTCTTACGTGAAATTTAAAGATGATTTATTAACATGATAATTTTTGTGTGACCTTGACATATTATTCTCTCATAATAATTGGATTCGTAAATCTTAAATTGAGATAATCAATTAAATTTTACTAAGACTTTTTAGAAAATTGCATCGTTCTTATGTGGTGGAAAAATGATTTGATCCTAATTTTATGGATTCAATCAGATCGCAGGACAGTCCCTCTGAAGATACTGTATTAACAGAGATTCCTTTTTGTAGTAGATGCTGGCACATTAAAAAACCCTCACTGTTCAATCACAAAAGTGCCAAGAACAACCCTTCACCGGCAATTGCTGACGTCCCAACATGGGTGAAAACATTGTTAAAGGGGCGTAAAGCACATTTATATGCAACTCGAGATCCTGATCCGACCCAATATGCATTTTCCCTTTCAATTTCAAAAGTATCAGATGAGGATTAACTCCTGTTGATTCAATTTGTTAAAGATTTGGACGTGTGTCATTACATTTACATAATTATATATTCTGATTATTTTTTAAACTCAAAGAATAATGTGTTCACTAGGATAAGAGAGAACCGTTTAAAAAAATGAATCAAAGATACAGATGTAGGATTTGGGCTTTCTTATTTTTGCAACGGAGCTTAAAATGAAAGACATTTTTTCAATAAAATTAGGATTGGAAATATATCTTTAAAATATAGAGTCATTGAGAACTGCTATTATCTTTCATCATTATGATAGACCACGCAATAAAATGGAGATTTGAATGCGCCTTTGTATAATCCATAGACAATTTATACAATTCGGTTCACATTATGCATTAAACGAAAAAATGTAACACCGATTTTTTAAAAAAGCATTTCTTTTTAATATTAAATTATAATATTTTGAATGATACAATTACCTCTCCTTGTGGGCAGATTCGTACATTCTGTTGACAGGATGCAAAATCCTTAACATGACTGCACACATTACATATTTGAAGACAATTTGAGACTGTAAGTGTTCCAAAACAGAGGAGTTAAAAAAAATACATTTTCCTTAACCAGTTTTTCTGCACGTAAATCAAGCAAAACAAAGTATAAATTATTGCAGTTTTTATTTACGGTTTTCATGACACACGTGACAAAAATTACCATTCATTACATGTACCTGTGGTTGTTCATATCAAAGTGAAATATATTCTATCAATACGTACCTTGATAATGATAAAACGTCAAAAGAATGCACGCACAAATGACTTTCATTCCTAAAAAGATTTATTTTTTTTTGTTTACACTGACAAAAAATTAGGCATAAAACAAGTCTACAGAATAAAAATTGAAAAAAAAAATCTACATGTTCATAAATGCATGTATAAAATGTGCTAAATTTAACTTATCTTTCATATTTCATGACTTAAAAATTAATTTATAAGTAAAAGATATAAAAAAAAAATCAATTTCAATTTTTTTCCATGATGTATTATGAGGCAATCTGCGGTTTAACCTACCTCTAATCTTATTAGCATTTGCGAAGTAGGTAGGCAAGACGAATGAGAGGTTGCTACAAGGCTTGTACATTAGAGGTTTAGTCTGAACCTATGCTTTTTATTGGAACCCCTCTTTCACTTTTTGAAGACAAGAGTTCTCTTTTTTTTTGGAAATTGAATGGTTTGTATTAGATAGAAGTGCTAAAGAAGGTTTTAATCTTTTTTTCCTTATTTTAAGTCTCTCCCTCTCCCTCTCTCCAGGACCTTCAATTGGTGTGGATTGAATGTGAAATTTTGTCAATGTAATCCTTTTCACCTATAGGCTAGCTGTGTCCAAGTCGTGAACGTTCAAAAAGATATCATTTTGCACAAGATTTTGTTTTTGAATTTGTTAAATGACTGCAAATACTTTTTAATGCAATTTTGGTTCCTACATATCTGGAAACCTATTGTTTTATTGAAACCACAGGACCAAATATTTCGTTTCTTGCACGAAGCCAATATGTCTCAACAACTACTAAAGGGCGGATTGCTTTCATAAGGAATTTTATAAAGAAAGATTTTTAAATGATAAACAATTTCGATGAAGCTTATGGGGCGTATCATTTCTAAAATGGCTTAAAGTTGATAACACTTGTAAAGAATAGGCATCTAAGGATATAAGATAGTTTTGCTTCATTGAGCACAAAAAGAATGAATAAACTGAAAGAGGAAAACAAATACCGTGTAAATGATTCTCTCACAATACCTCGTGATTGATCAAAAACGCAAAAATTATTTTGTCTCGTAAACGGCATGTCTTCAACTTTTCGTCAACATCCTTTACTTATGTAACAATATACCATCATCATTATTTTTTTAAGTTTATATCTCCCAGTTGATTCGAAAAGCAAGGGATGTACGTACAAACAATTTCTAAATCGAGACAGGATGTTGTCAAATACATTGATGATACAAGGATATCAACGATCTCGATTAAAGTCAACATTTCGCAAATGCAATGTCGATACAATGACCTTGTTTTCAAATACAATCTGACGTAAGGTCGAATGTGAATGATATTTTCATACAAATTGTCAGGTTATTATTTTTATATTGAATTGTCTACGGATTTTTCCTGTCGTTAGGTTGATTGTTGAATGATATTTCCATACAAATTGTCAGGTCATTATTTTTAGAATGAACTGCCTACGAATTTTTCCGTTTACCCGGTCATGATAAAGAGAACACAACGGGTGAGTTGGGCCAACAAGGTATACATGTACTTAATGGACATTTGAGAATGATCGTTGTTCGCTTTCTTCACATTTTTCCAGTGTTGTTGACGTAATATTGATTCAGATGTTTCAGTGTATTGACATATGTCATCCTTTCCCCTGCTCTGAACAAAATTGAGTTTCTGATGCATCGAAAGAAATATATTATGTACTGACTTGCTTTAGATACTGCATCCAACCCACATGTACATACATGTACGTAATATGTTGAAATCTCCAATAGAGGACCATTAAATTGCCATTGATTGAACAAGGCTAGATGTTACATTTATGAAAATATGAACGATCATTCAACTATCAGGTTCTTTTTGTAATGAACAATGATAAGATAGCTGGTCATGTTATACAAATTAGAAGACTGAAAGATCCTTAAAAGTTTTCTAACAATCTTCAGAATGAAAAGAAATTTGATAAAATTGTACTGTTATTTCATTTCTGAGAAATCAAATAAGTGTAAATTTTCTTTACCCTTTCATATTGATTATGCTTCATTCAATTGAAGTTTCAACGAAAGTTGGACTTTAAATAAACATTACTGTACATTATGGTGACCCTTTATTTACATTTCTGTAAGAACACACTTATGCATCAGAAAAGTCGGTAAGTTTCACAAGGTTTAATCGATGCATTGAAAAATGCCGACAATAGACAGAACCAAATAAAGAATGCACATGCCAGAAATGGTTATACCCCCCCCCCCCCCAAAATATCATATTTGAGAATTTGCAATTTGCAACTAAATTTTCTCATAGAATTTACCTTTCTTTAAGTAACAGATCTATAAACTTCCAATTTTTTCCATGCACCTAGAACAATCAACTGAAAAGATAATCTTTAAACCCTGACCTATATAGGACTATCAGGATATGCTTGTGTAAATGGAGTGCAATATATACTCTTCAAAAAAAGAAACGCATAATGGGAATAATTCCCTGAAAAATGTAAGATAGATTTGTGATACAATTTTTTTTTATGGATATGATTCATTTGAGTAAAATGCGTTATTTTTTAAGGCATTTGTTAATTGTACAGTTATTCTACAAATCTCACAGACAAAAAGACCTGATTTTGCAAAATGCTAAAAAAAAATTTTTTTCTCAATTTTCATTTGGTGGTTTTTAATGCAATTGCTTCAGACACAAAAGGGCTATCAAAAGCTAGGGTTCTTGATATTTTGATTCTGGCTTTATCTAAAAATTGACGCTATTTAAAAATGCTGCATCTGAATGTTGCATATCACAAAAAGGAAAATGGGCGACTGGAAGCAGCTGTACCACAGTCTACAATTGCAAGAGGTTTTAATGTTACACACAGCACCATATATAATCTATAAAACATATACCATTAACATGGAATACACAATGTTCGCCAAAATATGGCAGACCACACGTGACATCAGCAGCTCAGGATCGCTTCAGTGGTTTACTTGATTTTCATGAATGTTTCACAATGTCGTCATCTACAGCATTAACTATCCCTGAACTGCACAGAACATCTAACAAGACCGTTTGCAGTTGACTATGGAATGCTGGAATTATTGCCAGAGGATTATTCATGCCATTGTTCTGACCCCACAACACCGCAAATATCGACTTCAAAGATCTCAGATCAACAAAGTATGGCCACAGCAACACTGCTGAACGTTTTCGTTTAGCTACTATTCCAAAGTGTTTATCGCAAAGCCTGTTTTGAGTTTAAGAGTGCATAAGCTTCGTAATGAACGTTTTACAGAAAACTGCATCCAGGACGTAGATAGATTTGATGGTGATAGTGTAATGATATGAAAAACTGTATTACAGAAATGTAAGACTGATTTGGTTCATATTCAAAGGACTTTGATGGAAAAAGGTACTCTAACAATGTTCTACCTGCACATGCCTTTCCAATATTGCGGCATCCTGCAGCTGTATTTCAATCTGACAATACACAGCCACATACGGCTTGTTTGACAGTCGCATTCTTGCAAAGTTACAGCAACCTGTTTCTGCCGTGGTCATCTAAATCGCCAGATTTTACCCAATTGAGCATGCATGGGACAAAATGGATTTGCATGATTTTCCAAAGACAATCGCGTCCTCAGACTCTGCAACAGCTGATCAAAGCTCTACATGTACAATGGGAGAGTGTTCCCATACATTTTTAGTACACTCATTTGCTTCCATTAGATGCCGTGTTAGGCTATCATTTGTGTCGGGGGGGGGGGGGGGGGGGGCATACAAGATATTGATCTTTAATGACCTTGAACTGTCCATGATTTCAGAATTTTTGAGTAATTATAACATTTAGATTGTAGACGTATTGTTAACCACATTTCTTTACTGCCAATACATCATTTTACTAAATGATCTTTATGTTCAATGTGTCACTAAAATTCTACTATGCGTTTCTTTTTTTGAAGAGTATATATTATACATGAATCTCAAAATATTATCTTGTTAATATCAAATTCAGTACTTGAAGTCGTGTCATACCACAAATGTAAATTCTACACTGAGATTCAAGCAGACTCCAGAAATCCATCACAAAATTGAAGAAAAAACCCCCCAGATATTCAGGTATTGCCTACATATGCAAAACTGAGACAGATGTACCGGAATTTTTTTCTTATTTAAACAGAGAAAAATAAATAAAATTGAAATATCTTTCGACTCCTTTTGTTGTTAAACATTCCAAATTGAATAATTGAAAGTATTCAAAGTTATCAGTATAGTAAATCAAAGTTTCAAAGTTATTAGTATACCCTTACAAGTAATACTATAGAAAACTATACTTAACTTAAGCTAAATATACTTCATTACAGTAAATCAATATCCAAACGTTAAAAGCATTGTAAATCAAAGTTTTCAAAGCTATCATTATAGTGTCAAAGTGATCATTAATGTCAAAGGTATTACTATAGTGTCAAAATGGTCACTATTGCGTCATAGTCATCACAATATTAAATCGAAGTGTCATTTATCACTATGGTAAATCAAAAATTTAAAAGTCATTTCTATAGTAAATCTAAATTTGAAATTAATTTAAGGAATGTCTTAAGTGTTGTGTGAATTATTGGTGTGTAAATCACACAGACTTGTCACGTAAGCATATTTCTTGAAGCGTGCTACGTGCAAGTCTGTGTGATTTACACACAAATAAATCACACTAAACGTAAAAACATTCCTTATATTTACATTTTACATGTTCAAAAGCACCAAAATTGTACTCAACGTTTTAAGTATTTGCTGCCCTATATCGTTACATTTTATAAATGTCTCTGTAGCTTATTGTGACGTCACTTTAGCGCGAGTATCTCCGTATATATTTCTACGCGTGAGTATACACGAAAATGGCATTTAAGTCAATTTCACTGTTGGCTTAGATGAAAAACACAGCAAATGTAAATATAACTCCTTAATTTTCTGTGATAAATCGCTTTTTGTCACAACATAGGTGATGCCAAGTCTTGCATTTTTTCTTATTTTACCAAAGATATCTGTTGGTGACTTGTATTTACAATAATTCCATGCACTTATTTTATATTTTATTTTCAGTTTGATACTTTTTGAAAAAAATAATTTCAAATGTTGTAACAAGAATCACAAGTACTTTATATCTCCGATATATCTAAATAATCAGATATGTCTCTTAATTAGCTACGTTTTTACATTTAAGATTGATTGATTGATTGTATGTTGTTTTACGTCCCATTCGAGAATTTTTCACTCATATAGAGACGTCACCATATACCGGTGAAAGGCTTCAAATTTTGACCTTTACTCGGCACTCAGGGCCATTGAGCAGTGAGGGATCTTTATCGTGCCAACGCCTGCCGTGACACGGGGCCTCGGTTTTTAAGGTCTCATCCGAAGGACCCGCAACTTTCACTTCAAAGTGCCGAGCGCATGGCGAAGGAACAGTTGCTACCTATTTTTTATCGACTTAGGTCAGTCGCGGCCGAGATTCGAACTCACGACCTCCCGATCACGGAGCGAGCGCTTTTTACATTTAAGAGAATTATGGGTGAAGATAAATAAGTATGGTATATATTCTACTCTGATTTAATTTTATTAATTTTCTGGAGTTTTTTTTATCTTTAATCCAACAAGTGAATTTTAATTGAGATATACAGAAGTGATGTATGGAATTAAAACATTACAATTTTTTGCTCTGGGTCTGTGTTATTTTGCAGACTAAGCAGGAATATCAAAGATGCCAGACTGCGTAATGATAATGAAGATCTAATAGCGTTTTCCCACTCAACTTAGTCCAAATCTTGTCAAGTATTATTTCAAGGAGAATATTTAATAATTAGTAATTTCAAAGATTCATTACATATACCGATACGATCAAAGCCATGTAAAACAGTTCTCCATTGAATCCTATTTTTTTTAAGTTTTATAATATCTAATATTGTTATTTTTGATATCTTATCTTATTGATATAAACAATAATAAATTAATGATGTGTTTCTCCCTTTCTAGTGGTAATACAGATATTATTTATATTGTACGCATTTTTAATACTTTTATTCCTAGACGGTCGTTAGTTTTGCATGTTATTTGAGATTTAACTGCAAAGAAAGAAAAAGACAATGTGTGAGGTTTGTAACTTTTGATTAAAAAAGTGAAAGATGCTTATCATCCAAATGGAAGATACACATACAGAGAAAAAGGAAGATATTTATGATACGATCGTAAATTAGAAAACACATTGCAAGGAACACTTTTCATGATACATACAGAAACAACACTAAGAACACTTTTATTTTTAAAGAGTGACATTATATTCTAGGAGGTACATATAAATCATCCGGAACAATATTTTTGTTACATTGTGGGGTGGTACAACAGAACGAACACTCGAAATAAGTCGTTGTGAAAGAGTTGGGATCATATCCAGTACATTGCTGTCTGTCAGACGTCCTCTCCCACCATTCCTGTCGGCATTCCTGTTCTGTAGCACATCTGAACAAAATAAAAATACTGTGAACTCTTCTCCATAGAACACAACTTAACACTTCTTCATAGAACACAACTTAACACTTCTCCATAGAACACATCTTCAGATATCTGCAGGTGACGATGTTATTGGTTCCTTGTTTTTAACTTATATAATGATTTAATCGTAAAAACTAAATTTACTGGTGATTTTCAATATCCATGCTTTCGGGTATTTCCCCTTAAAAGTATGTGGAAAGAAATAAAAAAAGCATAAATATTTATGTAAGATGTAATGTTAAAATGTGTTTGCTATACTCGGCTATAAAATGCACATTTTTTATTGAAAGAGCACTTTAACTTCAAATTAATTCACACAATTATCACAGACGTAGCAAGACGAAAAGCATTTATTTCATCTATCATATTTTTTTAGTGAGCGTTTTATGTTTTATTTTTACAACTCACAATTATGAATGACTAAACCTCAATGCCTGTAACGATGACTGTCCTCACCTTGAGAACTTTTGCATCGCAAAATATTTCAGATTTTGAGAGTGAATTAGACCAAAGGAAGTGTCAAAAGACAACTCTCTCCAAATCAATTGCTATTATTTATAAATGAATCTAAATTAACTCCCTTCACTAAGCTTGAAACAAAAACCTAGGACCTTACGAATATTTAAAGTCAAGCAGATGTCTTTAAGAAGGCTGTTCTTTGTTCATTTCCCTTAAGATACTGTTCTAGAAAGTCGATATGAGCTAAGGGTAAACAATTAAGGAATGTTTTTAAGTTTTGTGTGAGTCATTGGTGTGTAAATCACACAGACTTGTCACGTAGGCATATGAAAAATATGCCTAAGTGCAAGTCTGTGTGATTTACACACCAATAATTTACGCTAAACTTAAAAACATTCCTTATATTTACATTTTCCAAGTTTAAAAGCACCAATAATATACTCAATATTTGAATTTCTCCCTGACCTATATCGTCACATTTTTATTAACGTCTCTGTAGCCTCATTGTGACGTCACTTTTGTGCGAGTTTCACCGTGTATATTTATACGCGTGAGTGTACACAAAAATGACTTTCAAATCAGTTTCACAGCTGGCTTAGTAGAAAAACATAGTAAATGTAAATATATTCAATTACAAACCTTCTGTCCAATGTTCTGGAGCCATCTCTATTGTTTACCAATTTATTAATACAAAACTGTTGGTCAGCAGTGTCGCATTTCAATGGTGTTGCTAGCCGTTCACATAAAAATGGTGGCACCCCATTGCATAGGTAGCAAGAAGCTATCAAAAAAGCACATTTTCGTTCCAGTTATTATAAGTAGAAACTGTAAACCAAAGTTACTGTATACTATAAACGATTTTCTTTTTATCAGTAAACTTCTAATTATAAATTGAAGCTCAGACAAATATATGAACGGAAATTACGACTAAATATAAACAAATTATTACTAGGAGTACTCATGGTCGAGGTAGGCGTTGTCATAGGCGAGGTAGGCGTTGTTGTAAGCAAGGTAGGCGTTGTCGTAGACGAGGTAGGCGTGGTCGTAGACGAGGTAAGCGTTGTTGTATCCGAGGTAGTTGTTGTCGTAGACGATGTAGGCGTTGTCGAAGAAGGGGAAGAAGTTGTTGAAGGTGAGTTAGGCGTTGTCGTAGACGACATAGGCGTTGTCGAAGATGAGGAAGACGTTGTCGTAGATGAGGGAAGCGTCCGAGAGGATGAGGTAGGAGTGGTCCTATGGAAGGTTGTAGTGATTGTGGATGAGATAGTTGAGGTTTTTGGAACAGACACTGTTGAAGACTTTGTTGTTACTAAATAGACAAGAGACCTTTAATACAGTCTCCTGAGTATGAAGAATATTTTTGTAATATAGGAAACTCAACTCCACCTTTGTTTGAACGTGTTATCAATTATTTTACTCGATGCTCAATATCAATGTGCTTGAAAATTGTTTGATAAAACGAAGGATTAAAAGCAATATTTTATGAAAAATATATTTTAATACACTATTAACATATAGTCTGATCATTGGGACATATAATCAACAATATGGTAAGGATTCAACGTCAGCAGGCAAACAATTCAATTGCTAGCTAGCTATAAGTGTCAAGGAATAAAGCTTCTATAAATGACCAGTAATTCAACATCCAAGTGCCGAAATCCGATATGACATGAATTTCAGAACTGTTGCTAAGAGCTGTTGCTTATTATAATCATCTAAACAGTGTACCTGATAAACATCGATAAGTAAAGAAAAATGTTTCAAAAGAGGTTGTTTTATCTATATCTCAACTTGCCTCATTGCATTTTAAATTAACAATTCTTAGTCCAATGTGCAGCGTGTGAAAACACCCTTTATCCTCTACATGTGTTTTCTAACAGACATCGAAACAGCAATTTAATATTTACCTTGAGTGCTGCACCGATTCACATTACACGGAAGAGACATGTCCCCTGTGTTTTCACAACACCGGAAGCAGGTACTTAACATTCGTTTTCTTCTGCCAATGATGTTACCAATGATCACAGGCGCATGCGTACTTTGTTTATTATCCCCATCAAGATTACTCAGCGTGTCACATACCTAATAAAATAAGTAAAAGTATTTATAACTAAAACGTTATATTTTTTAAGCTTGATTTTTTTTTTGATGGAAACTCTACTGAAATGTTTGATTAATTACCTGCCTAGATACACAGCCTGAACTATATTGTTACACTCCACTGTGGTGAAAGCTTTCTGATGTAAAGCATAGCTACAAAGAATCAGTTACAAATTTAATTGTCGAGAAAAACATGGAGTATTATTGAAATAGACATATTTAACGAATTCAATTTCATTTATATCAACAACTGTTTAAATTATGAAGATGCGGATTTTTTAAAATGCATTTTAAGGGGTGTTTTCTCATTTTTCTATAGCTTTTTTTTATCTAATTGGGCGAATTCATTTCATTTGAAATTTGAAAAAAAAATTACGCAGTATAAAGCCAAATTGCATCAAATGTGTGCGTAGACATTCGATTCATGCAGACTTAACAAAAAATCATAATTCAAATTTCCGAAAAATTGTTAAAGGGAGATGAAACGAAAGGAAATATTAATATTAAATGAAATACATGTTGATTGATTACGAAATATGATTGATGAATTTAAATAATGTTCTATTTAACACATTTTAAAACACAAATGGGAAAAATGATAAGGGTTTCGCTTCGTTCTAGAGTGTTCTCGGATCAGAGAGTAATCCCTTTGCGAGACGTGGAGATCTGAAGAGATTGTTTGTGGTAATGACCCTGTCATTGTAGACGCTGGAACGAAAAAAAAAATCCCACTGTGTGCAATGGCCATAATAGCTGAGTAAATGTTTATATTTACTGTCCTCCACATATAACTAATTTCTTGGTCTGTTGATATTTTGAAATTTGATCACCGTCCTTATTTACCGGTACACCAAGAAGTATTAGCCTTAATAATTTCTAATCCAGACATTTAAGTGAAAAGAGTATCCTGGAATGAGGAAGAATTATTTAGATTTTTGAAGGAAATTCAAATCAAAATATAAAAAAAAACGAAATTGGATGTGTGTGTTTTTTTTTTATTTGTTTTTTTTTTTATTTACTATTATTATTATTATTTTTTTATCTATTTTTTATTTTTTTTGTTTTTGTTTTTTGCAATGGATCTCAAATCATATGCCTAAGGGGGAAAGTAGATTCATTTCGAGTGTCTGAGGAATATGAAAATGGAAAATATGATTAGTTATCATGAAAGATCCCACAGTAAAACGAACATTTTACTTTCATGTTCTCTGTATTTTTTATAATATATCCTTAAACCATAAAGCCCTTATCGGAATTTGATAATGCTAAATCCATCGAAAATTGACCAACGTTGTGGAAAACTCATTTTCAGAAAGAATGCACTTCGCTTGGACCTTTTGAATGGACCTTTTAAAAGGTAGTTAAGTTTCTTTTACATTTTAGCTCATCTGAACCGAAGGATCGAGTGGGCTTTTCTGATCAAATTTGTCCGTTCTCTGTCGTTGTTGTCGTTGTCGTCGTTGTAAACTGTTCACAATTTCATCTTCTTCTCAAGAACCACTAGGTCAAATTCAACCAAACTTGCCACAAAGTATCCTTGTGTAAAAGGAATTCAAGTTTGTTCACATGAAAGGCCACGCCCTCTTTCAAGGGGAGATAATTAGGAATCAGTGAAAAAATAATGGCATCCCTTGAAAACCTTCTTCTCAAGAACCACTGGGCCAGGAAAGATGAAACTTATGTGGAAACATCCTCAGGTAGTGTTAGTTAAAGTTTGTTTAAATCATGACCCCTGCAGGTAGGGTGGGGCCACAATGGGCGATAAAATTTTTACATAGAAATACATTGGAAAATATCCTAAAAATCTTCTACTCGAGAACAGCAAACCCATAATTGGTCATAATTATATGGAAGCATACCCAGATAGTGTAGATTCAAGTTTGTTCAAATCATGAACCCCGGGGGAGGGGTGGGGCCACAATGGGGGATCGAAGTTTTACATAGATCATATAAGAAAATATCGTTAAAAATCTTCTTCTCAAGAACAGCAAAGTCATGCTTGGTCATATTTATATGGAAGCATCAGGTAGAGTTGTTTCAAGTTTGTTCAAATCATGACCCCCAGGGGTAGGGTAGGACCACAATGGTTGATCAAAGTGTAACATAGGAATACATAAGAAATTCTTTAAAATTCTTCTTCTTGAGAACAGCAAAGCCACGATTAGTCATTTTGATATGGAAGCATCCTCAGGTAGTGTAGATTCAAGTTCGTTCAAATGATGACCCCAAGAGGGTAGGTTGGGACCACAATGGGGGAGCAAAGTTTTACTTAGGAATATATAGGAAAAAATATTTTTCTCAAGAACAAAGAATGCATGATTAGTAATATTGATATGGTGGCATCCACAGGTAGTTTAGATTCAAATTTGTTCAAATGAGGGTCCCTGGGGGTAGGGCTGGGCCACAATGGGGGATTTAAGTTTTACTTAGGAATATATAGGAAGAAATCTTTTTCTCAAGAACAGAAAAGTCATAATTAGTCATATTGATATGGAGGCGTCCACTGGTAGTGTAAAATCAAACCTGTTCAAATGGGGGCCCCGGGATAGGGCTGGGCCACAATATTAATGGGGGGGGGTCAAATTATAAATTAATAGGAAAAGATATTCTGCTCAAGAACAACAAAGCCATTTGTTATATTGATATGGAAGCATCATCAGGTAGTTTAAAATTCAACCCCACCCCCCACCCCCATATAAACTATTCAATACTGAACTGATTTTTGCTTTTTTTTCCCTAGCCAATGTGCTCAGGTGAGCGATGTGGCCCATGGGCCTCCTGTTTAAAATAAAACCATTACCTCTCCATGTGGACAAACTCGTACGTTCTGTTGACAGGATGTAAAATTCCTCACGTGACTGCACACGTGACAAACTTGAAGACAACTTGAGACTGTAGATATTTTAAAAACATTGGAGGTAAAACGTGTAGAAGCATATCTTATACAACCACTCACCTCTTTTTTGGTAATTTTCAAATAAGTGCATACAGGGCAACCACAACAGAATAACAAACGTAAATAAATTAGAGGCTTAATTTTTTGTGATTACAAAAATCATATTTTTTCTGTTTCGACAGATTTATTATTTTTTAGAATGTGAAATATTTTTAGGTATACTTACCTTTAAGATGATATAATATCAAAAGAACAAACAAACAAATGTGGCTTATCCCTAAAAATAAACAGAACCTCTGTATAGTTAGAATACAAAGAAAATAATTTTACAAATGGAAAGAATACTTTCTGCACTTTGAATAAAAAAATTGTATGCATTTGTTTTCACTAATGTAATAAATTTCATGGCTCTTAGCAAGGATGTCTGAGTAATTCATTGAAAAAAACATAAAATATTATAAGTTTCATAGTGTTTTTAAAAAATTCTACTCAAGAAACAAACAAAATTAAAGAAATGGAGGATCATGGCAGGTTTGTGAAACGTTTTAATTGAAATTTTAAACAATTGTTACCTCTTGTGAAACAAGTAATAATATAATTTTGATATAATGATGCATTAACGAAATTGCTTCGCCATCGCCAATTTACCAGGAAGGTAGTTCATTAACTTTTAATTCATTATTGCAATCAAGTGCTGGTAAAGTTTGAAATAAGATCACAAAAGTCATAAATATTTGATGTTAGTAGAGGTTAATCGTTTTGTAGTACGTACTCCATTTCGTCTTATAAAGTGATGACCCTTTACCAAATTATAATTTTTACATCAGATTAGTTAAGCAAGTTAACTGAAAATATTAATCTGGAATCAAAATAATGAATAAGTTCGGACAGAGACACATAATAGAGAAGGAGAAAAAAACAATTTTTACATAATACGAGAAAATATAACGGTCCAATATTTTAAATTCCCTTTTGTTATGAAAGGATGACTGCACTTAACGCCTGTTTTTGGGTCTTTTTCGGTTGTTTCTGTTGCTTTTATATCTAAACCGTATCTCACTTTTGTATGTTTATGAAAGAATACTGTCAATTTGGAACCAAATTTAAATCTTAAAATGATTTTAGACTGTGATACAATAAAATGATTCAATGTTTTTTTTCCTTACTGCTTTCCAAATATAGTGAATTTACACTTACCTGCCCTTGATTGAACATTAGATATGCATGAGAGGTGGAGCTAACATTGTAAGAATGGGTCTAAAATTAGACTTGATAAATAACAATAACATGTTTGAAAAAGCGAACGTGATCACTCTTTCCAATCTCCCTCTCCATTCTGTATGGCACAAATACACTTCTGACAAAGGTTTCAAAACGAAATTAACAATATGAGCACGTCAATGTAATTAAAGCAGATTTTATATCAATGCCAGATGACTTAACGTGTTCGAACACAGTGTCCTAGTTAGCACAAAACATGCTATCTTACAAGTCACGTGACGGAATTTAGTATTCACAAAGTTACCTGAGATAAGAAATCACGTGGTGAATTATAATATTCAACATGTCACAATCCTTGGTTACAACACAGAGAGCGAATGTAAGAAGAAGCAGTTTTTTCTCTTTTTAACCGTGAGCGCATGTTTGTCTATTAATCTCCTTTTGACACATTATTATTTATGCAAATATACAACTACTGTTAAACGTAGAACAATAGACAAACATGCGCTGACTATGTATAAAGTCAGTAAAAAAGTGGGCGTCCTCACTATCGAAGGGAGATTCAAGAAATTGTGATGACCCCTGCCTTTGAAAACGGATTCGAACTTCGTAAATACACACTTTTATTAAACGTAATTACATAAAGTTGTAGATTGGATGTTGACCATTCTCTCAATGAAAAGAAAAATGCTTGTTTTGAAAGTTTATTTTGTCGCAAATTCCGCATGTCCTTAAGTGCAGTCATCCTTTGCCATGCAATCTTTACAGCAAAATAACAAAATATTTAGTATTTAAAAGATGGTAAAACTTATATGATTATAGATACAGGGATATGAAATTTTTTTTTTTTCAGGTAAGCGTTACATCATTAGATGAAAAAGAAACTCAGAGTTTTTCAACTTCCAGATGAAAAATATTTTGATATTGAAGTGCTTTGCATTTATAATCATATCTTTGCACTGTATTGAGGTATGTGATATGTTTGATATATTCCATATTTTCGGTATGTATTATTTGTTTGAAATATGGTATTTGTTTCGTATACCTATTAAAAACTCTACATTAGTCAACATGGTTCATGTATCTAAGAACATATAAACCGCGATGCTTCAGAAACTATTTTATATTTTCATATAGATAAAAGACGGATGGTCGATTTAAAAAGTTTCAATAAAGGTTTATTTTTTGGAAAGACCACAAGTTCAAGATTGACCTAACAAGAATTCAAGTTAAGTGTTTTGTAAGATTTTATTTTACCTGACGTTTGGTTCTTAAATCAAGTTAACAATGATAGGAACAAGCGATCAGTCAAGATGACATAACATTTCCTAAGTATATGGCACGCAAGATAACCTAGATATTAAAATTTTCTGAAAAGGTTTTCAAATAATCTGTATATAAGAAAAGAAAAGAAATCTGATTAAACATTTGAAATAACATATCATTCATTGTACTATAAACGAAATAATTCAAAATAATCATTTTTCCTCATAATTTATAAATAATGTTTATTAGATACAATCTCTTTAAAAGGTAGGACTTCTTGTAAGCAGTGCTCTGCTTAAACTGTTATTTGAGACGGACATTTCGAGTAAATTTAGGCTTCAAATAGGTTCAAAAGATTATTGAGAACTTCAAACCAAAAATGCATGCTGACATCATAGTTTTCCTTTACATTTTTATTCACATTTAGTACTTAGTGATATGCCTAAATCAACAATATATTAGGCAGTTAAACAGTGATAGGTGATGCATGTTTGATTTGTGTAACAGAACTTAATCCAGTTTCTTCCGTTAGGCTTAGTTAATGCATAATACACACTTATTTGATCGAAGTGCTGATGTCGAATAAATTGTTATCAGCAACAGAACGGGGATAAAATTTAACTTCAATTGTTCGCTTTAATTTACGTCATCAGTATTTAAATTAAAAGGATGAAGATAATGAACAGTGATCGATCTAAAAAATTCTATAAACGATACAAATTTATGAAGAGGCCAAAAAACAGACCACTGGAAATTCAGGTGCCTAAGAAGAGAAAGCATCACCTGTTTACCGGTCACATCCGCCGTGAGCTGTGTCATAATTCTAATTATACCTATACGGTAGACATATCCATGAAAAAGATATAAAAGTCATACTTTTAGAACTTACCTATTCTTGAACCATGAGAAATATAAATGTCCATCTTTGTACAAGAACCTCATACATACATCTAAGAAGATAAGCGTTTGAACTCTTGAACTCTAGGAAGTCAATAATTATCAATGTATATTTACTTTGACGGAGTTAAGATATTAAAATTATTTCAAAGTACTACAGTACTGAAAATTTAAAAAAGAAAAGAGATTTTTTTTACATGACACACACAAATTTTGTTCAGTTCTTGAGAGTAATAGGTTTCAGAAAAGTAAAGGTTTTTTATCCAAGAAATTTACTTTCATGGCGGACAAAACGTCTGCCTAAAGACGAACATACTTAACCTTTTCCTCCTCGTTGTACGCGTGCGCAGAAAAGTTGAAAAAGAAACCTCGTTCTCAAGTCCCAAGAAATGGTGGTGTCGGAAGACCGAGAATCTTTATACAGTGTTCAAAAAAGATTAACACAACATATTTTTCACTTTTGCATTTTCCAATTCAATATCATTTACAAGTTTAACACTAAAAATAAAAGTCTCGTGACCTTTGCAGGTACAGGTCACTGTAACAACGATATGGTAGATACGACCTTTTTTCCCGACACATTTTTTGCAGTCTTTCTTGCTTTAAGTGCAGTTGAGTTTGTCAGAACTTCACTAAACTCATTTTTGTGTCGTCTGCAGAGCAGAACAGCACTTAGGGATCACTTTACCCGGCGTCTATCCTCTGTCTGTCTGTCTAGCTGTCTAGCTGTCTGTCCGTCCGTCCGTCTGTCCGTCTGTCACACCTTATATCTCGAGAACTGTAAGAGGTATGGATTTCATATTTTGCACATATATAGCTTGGCATTATTGCATTTGTATTTTACCGACCTCTTGACCCTTGAAAGTGACCTTTGACCTACTTTTTGAAATAGTTCACATTGCCGATATACAACTTATTTTTGACATTTAAGAGTTGAGTTTAGGCTAGCTAGCATGTGCACAGTCTGTCGTAAAATATTTTGAAAAAAAAAACACCGCGTTACAGTCTATTTGACCTTGACCATTGACCTACTTTGCAAAATAGACGGTTAATGCAGACGGTTAATTTAACTCATGTCTTTTGAATTAAGAGAGGCAGGAATTTGATAGTTAGCATTTATATATGTTTATGAGCTCATGACAATATACTTTGAAACTGTATGATATACAGTAACCACAACAACTGAAATTTAATTACTATGTAATTACATCGGGATCGGGATTACAAGACGTATGGTGTAGACTGACAATTGCAGTAAAGTCAGACTGAAGTCTCTTTTTAAAAAAAATGTTGAAAACACGTAATAATTAATCAAATTATTGGTAAATAATTATGTCTAATAATTTAAATTTCATTAATATTCATTTTAGCTTTGAGGGGTTGAAGATTTTTATTTCTTTTTGACTGTCAGATTCCATCGCAGTCTTACCATCCGTGGATTTTTTTTTCTGTGCTGCCTAATGCATGAACTATAATGCTAGTAACAAATAAGTAGCTGACCACTCTTAGATTTATAAACATTTTTAACGAAACTAAAAGCAGGTGACACATGTGAGTATAATCTTTGTTACTTTGGCCAAAAAAAATTCCTTTACCTAAA